ACTATTCATGTGAAAATATATCCTATCTATGACATAGAGAAGAAGAAACATTCAAAGAGAACAGTCTAATTTGTTATATTTCCAATAGTTAAATTTTGATCATTCTCAATCAATTTTTTTATTTCTTTCGAGATAAACCTTAACTGTGTCATAAACGCAGGTATTATTTTTAATTCTTTTTAACTCTAAATATATTCTGTTCGAGCAGCATATTTTTTGGTTCAGTAATAAGTCAAGCTTTTATTTTTTCTCATTGAATTATTCGTACATTTGTGATAAAAATTTGCAATAATTGGAAATATGTTATTCACGTTTGTTATACAGATTTGAAGAAAATTCGCATTGTGTTGCCAAGAAAATTAGAAAATTAGAATAGCCAAAAGGATAATTATCAAAATTTATTAGATTTTTTTGAATACTTGAATAGAAGATAGTCAAGTGATCGACAAAGAGTAACGAATTAGTAATGCATTCAGATTTTATGCATTCAGATATAATTCAGATCGATTTATTCATTGTGTTGTAAATTTACATCACATTTACATTTATCTTGAAAATTATATATACATAAGCTGCATCCTCTCGTTTCAGTGAACTATTTTTCGAGAGTCATCACCCTTGAATGATAACTAATTTTTCACAATCATCGTCACAATACTACGTCAGTTATTCGGACACTAGAACTAGACACTTTTGTTGTTTGAAAAAAATGTACGAATTTAAAATATCAGCGCCAGGCACACTACTCTTATACGGAGATCCCTTGTTGGAAATGGCTGAACATAATAATTTTCACATAGCAGCTGGCTTAGACATGCGTACCAAGCTTGAATTCTCTTCACCGTTTCCAATAATAGTATCAGAAAAAATTTTCAGAATAGAATTTATAAATTTAAAATTATATTTGGAGATACCCTTAAGAGTTATTTATGAATGCTTTTATGACCAAAATGGTATTCGCAAATTTTCGAGTGAAAATCTAATGAATAGGATAAAAGAGTTCATTAAATCATTAAATATTTACAACAGCACTTATGACCCCACGAATGCATTACAGAATTTATTCTTACAATCGTTTTTATATTTGCTTCTTAGTATAGCCTACGAAGAAGATATAGAAATAACAGCTTCTATTCTCGTAAAACTGTCGACGGATTTGCCGATTGCAAAGGGCCTGGGAAATGTAACATCCTTTATGGTGTGTCTCGCGGCGTGCTTTTGGCGTTGGTCGCTTTTGCAAAAAGGGATTGTTCGTTATACATTTGATAGCCAAGACTGCATAAATATCAGGCGTCACGTTTGGCGCTGTGAGAAGATCGTGTACAACTTCAAGAGTATGATCAATAATTTCGTAACCATATACGGCGTCATGGTAATGTACAAAGATGAAATCGATATGTTCACATTGGATAAAATGCGGCCCATTAAGATCCTGATCGTTGACTCAAATATAAATCAGAAAACTGATCAATTAATAATTGATCAATTAAAAATGGAGAAGTTAGGTCAATATGTAGATTCAATCATTACTCGTGCTGCATTGGACAAGTCTTTTGAAGCGATCGAGCAGGTTTTTCAAAAGTTCAGAAAGGAAGATCAAAAAAGGAATGACAATTTCTTGGCTGGCCTGTTATCGCTGGATAGTTACGTAAAAATATTGGTAGGTTAAAAAAATGCGCATTTTCACGTCACTTATTTGTGCTGTACACGTGCTTGCACGTGATTATTATTTTAAGATATAAAGTTGGCTGTTGTAAACTTTATTTATCTTTCATGTGCTTTCAGGATTTCATTAATATGAATCAAAGTGTACTAAAAGCAAGAGGCTTGTCAAATCGAAATATAAATTTCATTTGGGCAATTGCGCGAAAGTATTCGGTCGGATGCAAGATGATAAGTAATGGTGGATACATGTTAATTTTTACATTACCGCATGTCATGGATTATGATATTCCTCTGTTAAAAGATGAACTCGTATTCTACAATTATCGTGTTATCGAAACAACTATGTCTTGTGATGGAGTTAGAATTGAATAGTACGGTTAATAGGTTTATTCTCTTAATAGAAGAATTATGAAATGCCTATGACATTATGTAAATTATATTAATTATATTAATGTAAATTAGTTTTGATATTGCGCTTTTGTATAATATATTGGTTATATTCTATTTATTAGATACTGTTTTATTTTTGCTTAACACACGTTAATGATGTAGTATGTGTACAGAAATAAAATAATAAAGCAATACATCTTTTTTATTTTCAATACACAGTTATTAAATTTTTCTAAACGTTATGCTATTATATGAATATGATGAATTAAATCTATAAGAGTGTATCTTTATGTGGAACGTATGATCTATTGATTTTTATACCAAGACAAGTTATTCGTATCATGACAAATTGAAAATCTAATAGTTCATAGAAAGTTCGAAAGGTATTCATTGACTAGACATATGCTTATACAATATATTAAAAAGCATGTTTTAGAAACATTTAAATTTTATCACTTTATTAATTTTATGATAAATACAGTATTTTTTTTGATAAATGAAGATTTAATATCTAATTAATATATTAAGATATAAAATACTTTTACATTACATTTATATCTTACTGAAAGGATTGCTTTATACTTTTATATATTTCTTTATACATCAAGTTTCGAATACGATAACATTATTTTATTTTGAAATAATTCTCAATTATTCTCCAAGAAAGCAAGACTAAAGATATTTTTAAGATATTTAAGATATTTAAAATATTTGCTTGTTCAAAATGGATTTAAAAATATTTTAATAATAATGAGAAAATGGACATAAATTGCAACGAATAAAGTTTAGTTTAGTCTTTACTAAAGGAACGAAATTCTATAATAGCATCTGTGTTATTACATATATATCTTTTCATTTTAGATGACGTTATTTTATTATTGTTTGTTAAATTAATTCTTCGAAAAACTTTGCGTGTTATTTTCTTTTAACTAATCTTGTGAAAATATTTTAATACGTGACAGAGATGAAAGAAGACAAGACAAAACATTTCAATCTATCAAATTTCTTGTTGTTTAATCAAGTTTTGAATTCTTTTAAAAAAGATCTTATGATTGTATTGCAGGTAATGTTTTTTCTCAGATTTATAAATATGTGTATGTATTTTACCTCTGTGGCATATATTGTTTTGGCCAACAGTTGATCAATCTTTCGTTTCTTCTCTTTAAAATACTCATAAGTTGTATATTAAATACTCTGAATAATATAAAAACTTCTGATTCAGATTTATTTGAAAAATACGAGCTGGAACTCTTTAGAGATGGCGCACATCTACACTCAGAAAATCAGCTTTAATACACTTTATTGTAGTACACGCCGAATGTTCGAGACGCTCTCGGCAAAGCTATGCAAAGTTCTCTCGGCACCCCGGGACAAAAAATGGAGCAAGCCGTTTACCTGTTTGTGAATTCAATATTACAGAAATTTGAAAGAAATTAAAAATTTAAGCATTTTTTCTATCGGAAAAATCAGTGCAACACTGATGAACATTGAATGCAACTGTATTGTTTCACTTTGAAAAGTTCATATATTTCCATTGATTGATGTTAAAAAATTGCACTGAGCTCAATCTTTGTTTCATTGCTTTGGAAACAATGGAAATCAATGCACATGAAAATTGAAGTTATAACATATAAAACATACTATATTACTTTTTTAGCATATATTATTTTGTTTTCAGTAAAATATTTCCATTATTAATATTTTTATCTTTTATTAATATTATTTCTTTCTATAAGTTCAATATCAAGGAAATAATTTATTTATTTATTTGAAGTAACAATTGTTGGCTGCTTTCTATTTTTTTAACAAGTTATTTATTTCTTTCAAAATTATGAAATTATTTTAATTCACGACAATAGAGTGGAAAAATTGTGTTTCATTGAATCATAATAAACTTGACGCACTGACTACTGACGCACAAGTGCAATTTTCATCGAAATCTAACGCTAGTTGCACTAGTTTTTCCAGAAAAATGCTATAAGGAAAACTTACTATCGAAAAATAACCACAATTTATAATCAATACAAATAGAAAGTAATTAATTTACCGAACGCAAATATTAGAGGTTCCCACGTGACGCATCTGTGACTCCCTATTTGCACGGTCCTGAGGATCTCCCGGTCTTCGATATATCGCGAGAGATCGTTTCCTGCCTATTCGACATGAGGGATGTCGCACTGACGGCGCCGCTTTGCGCTCGTAGGAACCTCTGACCCGGAGTCGGGACGATCGTGTGTGCAGCATCCAGGCAAGAAGGAGGCGTGTCAATCGGCAAGTCTGATTTTCGCCGCATCATCGACGATAGCCGGTCATAGCTGTCGATCCTCCCAGCACCATGGCGATAAACGTGCCGTACGAGGCGATCGGCAAGGGCTTCGTCCAGCAGTATTACGCGATGTTCGACGACCCGGCGCAGAGGCCGAACCTCATAAACATGTATAACGTAAGCGTGAGTTGTCCTACCTCGCTGCGTCCTGATCGGCCCTCTCCGCCCCGCCCTATCCTGTCCCGTTCCGTCCTGCGACCGGCGAGTCCCGGTCGCGAGATCCGTCGCGGCTTCCCCGCCCGGTCTTACGACTGACTGACCTAACCTAACTTTTTTTTTCAGGCGGAGACGTCCTTTATGACGTTCGAAGGGTTGCAAATACAAGGCGCTATCAAAATCATGGAAAAGTTAACTGTGAGTAGAGTTTTCTTCCGCAGTACCGAGAATTGCGATTATGTTATGTCCGCACACATCCGGTTTATCCTTGTGTGAATCGAGTCCTTCTTGGCTTTGTCGCAAGGTGCTTTTGTAATTGGTCCATTTCTGCTGATGAACGTTTGTCATTGGGATCAATAGCATTAAGATTTAAAATGGATTTGTTTATATAAATGTCTTTTTCTTTCTTTTTAGATCTTTTCTATTGGAAGTTGGATAAATTGGAAGTATTCTCATTTTGTTAATCATAATATTAAAAAATTTATTGAAATCATAGTCGAATTGTTGTCTTAAATTTTTATAATTAGAACACTTTCAAGAAAAATGTTTTATAGAAGACGATATTCTTTTATGATAGGTTTAATATTATCATTGTATTTATGATTGTTGTATTTTCTTTGTAGAGTTTATTAACATAATTCTGGAATTTATTTACCGATTACAGTGAAATAACAGTCTTCCATTTAAATATGCAAGGTGATGAAATCAGAAATTGAATTCAGGTTTCAGTTTGTTAGACAATTACCATTAAATTATTACAATTAAATTATTTCTTTATTTGTAAACAATGATTGTTTTGATTTAAAACTATGGAATTATTTATTCCAAATCAAAGTAGGAAGATTGAAAAATGTTATTAGTGTAATATATGTTACACTATTATGAGTTAAATTTTTTTCTTTTTCAGAGTTTATCTTTTCAAAAAATAAATCGGATAATAACAGCGATTGATTCACAACCAATGTTTGATGGTGGAGTTCTTATCAATGTTTTAGGAAGGTTGCAGGTAAGAAAAATAGCTAGTAACAGTGAATATCTTTTATAAAGTGCTTCGTGTGTAAAAAACGCGAAATAGAATACAATCTAATCAATCATATAGTAGTGACAGTATTATATAAATCATTATATAAAATTATATCATTGTACAAAATATTAAATATTTATACAATATTTTAATATTAAATATTTATACAATATTTTAAAGCGTGATATCTATGTTTTGTACTAAACCAGTCAGTTCAGTGATTTAATTTTTAATATTTAACACTTTTACATACATATTTATACTAAATCTAACTTAATGTGACACTATTAGAATTTAATAAAAATTCTAGATTTATTTGAGTAGAGCACGACTTTGATATATAAAAAAAAATACAACAGAGATTAAAAATAAAATTATAGAGAATTAAGTACTGTAATAGCGGTTTTTATCAATATTTCAAGTAATCGAAAAATATTTAGTGATATTTATGATCGCACAGACTGATGAAGATCAGCCTCATGCGTACATCCAGACATTTGTCTTGAAGCCAATCGGTACCTCTTTTTATGTGCAACACGACATCTTCAGACTTGCATTACATGATACAATTTAAATATCAGGTATTTCACGTGTTTGCTGCATATCGCTTTTATTTTATTCTGGCACGACGATTTTGGATAATAAATTCTCTTTAACAATATTTCTTATATTCCTATAGGCTGTGCTAAAAGTCTGTGTTTTGTTTAAGACTAATTAATTTAATAACTTAGAAAATTTTTATTAACATTATTTACAATTTTAATTTTTGCAATTTGATAATTTTTTTTAGTTTCGTTCAGTTTGGTATTTTTAATATTTGTTAACTGATAAAGTCTGTAGCTTTTTAATTTAAAATATATATTAAGTAAAACAAGATAATTGTATTAATTTTTGCATTTTATCTTATAAAAAAATATGGATTTGCATGTGATATATATAACTAATTTGGAAGTCTCAGACACACAATTCGCGAGTCACTAGTGGTAATTTTCCTGAGAATTGCGCAGACATAATGGGACCTCTGATTTAATTAGACACATTGCAAATAAGTAGTTTGGTATAAGATTAAATTGCTGAACAAATTGGAACAATAATTAGGTTGCAATAAATTCGTGAATATTTAAAAAGCCATGTTATTTCCGCATTTTAACTCGTTATTACACTTTAATAACTGTAATTACTACTGATAACATTTTCATGTGCTCTTTAATACATATTGTTGTTAATACATACATGTATAGTGCATAATTCTTGTCTGATTATAGGCAGACGAGGACCCACCACACGCCTTCTCACAATGTTTTGTGCTGAAGCCAATGGGGAATTCGTATTATTGTCAGCACGACATCTTTCGCCTTAACATTCATGATACCGCATGAACAAGGAAGATTGAGCTGATTTTCGCGACGAGTGTGTGAGCAGATGGGTTGTCGGGCGATGGACGTCCCGGAAACCGCGATTATAGTGAGCCACCTAATCTCATCGATAACCCTCTCGTCACAACCACATACCTATCCCTATTCTTTCTATAGATAATATCACGAATTTTATATGAAGAATATCTCCCCGCTTATATCTTGGCCATGATAATAATTAAAAAAAAAAAGAAAGCAGATCGAAGAACATCTGATATATCACACGGTTTAAGTAATTACATTGCTTTTCTCCGTACAGTTTATATTTATGTTATCATTGAAAGGAAACGAAAACAGATTTACATTTTTTAGTTATACGTACTACACACGTAGATGTCTCATTGATCGAGAGAGTTTGATTTTCGATGGCAGATTTAAATATCTTTGCATTACTACGCTTTGAAATGTATTGTAACATATTTTACATTTTAAAATGCTGTGTATTTTTGTAATACGAAAATGTTGGCCATTAAATACAAGAATACGGAATTAATCGAACAAGTTGATTATCTATTCCACCGACGAAAACGTAAAACCTTGACATTTTCGTCGATCGCGATGAAACATCTCTATCACAATGTGAACGAATTATTATTGATAATAAGCGATTTGTAGCAGATTATTGGACGGTGCTGAATAAATCTCGAAGCAAATTTTATACATAATACACTTTTAATGTGATATTTCATTATAAGTAGAATAATTAAGTACAAAGACATTCATCCTTCGCTCTTTTATAGGATTACTTTATGTCGGATAATGGTTTTCATATTAATTTTATAAATATATTAGCAATGTTGATATTCTACAGATTCCCGCGTTTTGCTTGCTCCAGTTCGATCGCCTCGAACAATGCTTGGAAATTGCCAGCACCGAAGCCCTGAAGAAGAAACAGCAGATTAAATTTACGATTATTTAAACATAACTTTTTGAATTTAGATATTGATGGATTTTATAAATTTAGAGATGTAAAATTAGATACAAACTTTTCTCGATACTTACGTTATGGTTACGTCTTTGTATGACTTCTATGAATAATGTTGGTCGGTCTTGCATATTTTTCGTGAATATTTGTAGAAGATAACCATTCTCGTCGTAGTCTATTAATATCTTTAATTTCTGCAAAGCGATTACACAATCGTATTAATAAGTAAACGCAACTTGTACTGGTGTTCTGATTCATTAGCAATAAAGGTACCTGCAGTGTATTCAAGTCCTCCACGATTTCCATGCCGCTGATTTTCAGGCGGTTCCTGAGCATGTCGTAATAACTATCGGGCACATCGAGAAACTCCATTCCTCTGGCGCGCAGATTTGTTATCTGCGAAATAACGAAGCGATGCGTGAGAAGGAACTTACACTATTATGCGAGCGCATAACATTCTTTTAGAAAGTATCTTAATTTAATAAATTAATAATATTAAACTATATGTTAATTACTATTAATAAGTAAAAATTAATTATAAAATAAAAATGTTGAAAGATTTGTGACTAAAAAGTTGGTTTTTTAAAGTCGCTTCTATAGCAAGGTCTTGCAGGATATGCGTGTTGCATACAAATGTAATTAGGATACTCTATTACTTACCGCCGTAATAATGTCACTGGTATTAAGAGCGATATGCTGCACGCCGGCGCCGCCATAATACTCGACGTATTCCTGGATCTGGGAGCGCTTCTTCCCCGGCGCGGGTTCATTGATCGGCATCTTGACCGTCTCTTCCCAATTCGTCATCACGATGGATCGTAGCGCGGAATATTCCGTGTGCAGCTGCGTATCGTCCACTGACCAGAATCTATGAAACTGTAAACATTCTTCGTACCTGAGAGAAAGAGAGAGAAAAAGAAATCTCCATTTAATTAATTTATTCTATTTTTAGCTGAGGAATATTTTACCCACGTCGGGAATTTGAGAAAGTCTAGCATATGAGTTTCCTGAAAATTCGATGAGAGTATAATGTGAAGTTTATTACGCATTTCGATTTGTACGTCATCTCATTACATTAATGCATTTTACTAACAAATTGTAACTGCTATTGATTATTATCTAAAATCAAGAAAAAATGCGCTAAGTTATATGTACGACTTCTTGTTAGCATAAATGTGTTTACGTTCTCAAGTAGATAAATTTACATACCATTTCGCAATGGGTTCCATCTGTTTATCAGGCTGATTACCTACGACATGGTCCACGAAATTCAAATGTATTTGCGGCCTACGATCATTAAGAGAAGCAAATCGATAGAAGTTAGTTTTCTATCCGGATATATCTTTTATATTTCTTTTGTATTCTATATATCAATAATTATAAGAGATATTTTTAGAAATATAAAATAAAATATTTATTTTTCTGATAAATACCTTCTTTTTATCAAAAAGATATATTATTATTGAAACATTATTAAAATATTATTCTAGTTTTTTTTTAAGGATCTAGATTTTGCTGTCGTATGTGGGATCGTATTTCCACGTACTTACAATTGTTTAAGAAGAATGTCATCCGATGCCCTCGCGAAACCCGGCAGGAAGAAGCCCTTGTATCTCGTCCTATCGATGAGCGTATGGAGCGTGTCACCGTACTGACAAAAATGACATTGAATTAATTGACATTGAAGAGATGTTCGCAGACTATATAGAAAAGTATTAGATTTTTTTATATTTACAGTTTTCACAGTGGCCATCCTCACAGTACCGTACTCATCGCTTTCCTCCCATATATCACGCATTACTTCGGCACCTCTTTTCTTGGCAACCTTAAGACGCAATCGTTCAAAATATTAGTCGATAAATGTAATTTGAAGATATTTTGTTAACGATTATCATTTTTCAGTAGAGAAAAATTTATTCTTTTAAAATTAGTTTTTTTTTTAATTATTCTAGTTCTGGGAAATACATTTTATTTTTGCATTTATTGATAAAGAAATTGCTTTCTAGGCCTGGAAAAACATCTCAAATGTTCTTTTACTTTCATAATGGTGTCAATATCTTCAACGTTGAACGCTACGTCCCGCACGCCGTCTCCATGTCGAGAAAGATGGTCCGACATTTCTTCATTATTCGGCTCGTACGGAGACTCGAACACGAATATGATCTGCGAAGATAGTATTAATGATTGAAAAGCTCATTACGTTGAAAAAGATTATATTCAAAATTTCGAGAAGATTGCTGCTCGAACCATTAAAATTAATAAACCATTAAGAATTATTAAGGTAAATTTATTGAAGGCTTTTCCTAATATTATCCAATATTGATCTATTTTTGACTATTTACACATATTATTTGCTTGCATATTTAAAATTACTCACTCTGTTCTGTTTGACAACGTGTGCGGCTGTTCGTCTGGAGCCTGTTTCCAAGCCGCGATATCCAAACGGTTCGAACCCCATTCTGCATCGATAGAAACTGGCAGCCTGCAAGACAAAATTATATTTCACAGGTATAATTAGTACGTTATAATTTTTTTTCTTCTATTCTATCTTTCCTCTTTACAAGTTCTGACGAAAATGAAAATCGGAGCGTAAGTTTAAGAAGAGAATGACAGAAACATAAATGAAGCGTAAATTGAAATAATGGAACATAAAAGAAATATTGACTTTTAAAATATTTGTTTTACCCGTATGTAAAATATTTATTTATCTTGATGTTTTATTTTAAACTTTCTTAATTCACGTTTTTATCACTTACTTTATGATCTTTATTTTCCCTAGAAAAGCTATTTCTTAATAGATTTCTTAATAGAGAATTGTTATAAAAATAGATTCAGAACATGAATCAATAAAGTACACGGTATGATTTTGATCAAAATCAAAGAGGAGACTAAATAAACTGACTAGATAAAGAATATTGAACTGTATGGTTCTTTTTTTATTTCTAGAATTTATTTCTTTGTTATTTCTCACGATATTAAATATTTTGCATAGAATAATTTACCTGTTTCGCATTTCCGACCCAGAATCTGATGTGATCGAAACTAAGGAATTTTCCTCCAACAGGCTGAAAAATGTGAATATTGCATCTCTTATTAAATATAATATAATTCTACAATTATTATATAAATTCTAAATTTCTAAAATTCTAAAAGCAAGAAGGCGCTTTGTCTTCTCTCCAATATTTTGGCAAGAAATGGGGCTCACTTGGAGTCCTTTATCGGTGTAAGTGGTCTGAAAGCAAATGCAAGAAATTTATTATTTGATAGTAAATAAGAAATATCAAATAAATAAGTTAAGAAATAGATGAAAAAATATATCTTGAAAAAATATATCTTTGTGAATTACAAAAGATGGACAATTATATTTTGTATGTGTGGAATATATGTGTGTGTTTTGTGTGTGTGTGTGTGTGTGTGTGTGTGTTATTGCATCACATATAATTAAAATTATATATATATATATGTACGTATGTATAATCAACTTAAATTACAAATTAACTTATTGTTAAAATTTAAAAAATTTTTTTAAAAAATTGAATCTTTGTTTCTAGATGACAGTTTCTTAAACTTACCATGATGTCTTTCCGAAATCGAGAAAAAAATGTCTCTTCTATAGAAATTTCCAGTGCTTATCGCGGGCCGCTTATCGAGTTCCGCTTTAAATATCGAACCCACCGATAGTCGACAGACTCAGAACTGTGATCCTATTGGTCTACGATGGAGGCTTGTTTATGCCACCTTCTCCGTGGTCAGCGGTCCATAAATTAAACCGACGATGACATTGGATTTTTTTTAATTGAACACGCGGCAAAGGTATGACACAATCAACGATATTTATTCGAGCGGGCTCGCCTTCCTAATTAACACAACAGAATACATTTCTTTCTCCGATTAATCTTAAAACATATATGCATACGAGCAAGATTTCTGGAGGAACATTGCGTCACAAAAGTTTCCATTTTACAGAATTATAGATAAACTAACTTCTAATAAATTTCTAATAAACACAAAGCAATATAATTTTTTATATATTTTATAATTTTTTAAATATATTTTTAAATATATGCATCAGATTCTTTTTTGTTTGTGGTCTTTCAAATCAATAAGTTTATAGATGCAAGAAACGTAAAGAAAATTTAAAATTTCGTATGAACACTAGTTTATGAAGTTAAATAAATAGAAACGGATAAATAAAGCTTTCCTATATTTGTATAAAAATTGCGATGAATATAAAGAATGTTTTATGCTATAATAAAAATGTTTCTCTCTTTCTTTGATATCTGTCTCATTTATTTCGAGGAATTTAAAAAAATTCCATTCGTCGCCTTCGGTACATTAAAATGATTTCTTGTATAAACGTCTTTCTGCAACACGTAGCAAACATATTTATATCACCTGATATTAGAATGCAGTTTTTCCGTGTACACACCTTCTAATGTATTTATGCATTTGTACCACGTGATATTAGATTGGAGCATGCTTTTTTGTTGTTTACGTTAAACGCTCCGATGATGCCGTGATTATATATATAGTGCCTGTCATAAGTGAGTAATTGTTAATCTTAAATTTAAAATTGTATCTCAAAAGAGCACTGTAATATTTAATCGATTGCTATTTTGTGAACAAAATTATAAATATTAAAAATTTCAAATAAATAGAATTAAATATTATATAATTATATAATTATAATTATTACTATTAATTATTAAATATTATATAATTATAAATTTATATAAGTATAATTATAAATTATTATTTTTAATTATTATTTTTAATTGATATTAGTTAGTTTGATTTTTCAAATATTATTTTATATTATATATCATATAAAAATGTTGTAAATTTGAAAATATTGTAGAATTCTAATGTTACAGATGTTAAATTCTATAGAATGTTAAATCCTAATGTTACAGATTGCTTTAAAAATCGGCTTTATAAAGATCCTAATATTAACTTCAATATTGTTATTAACTTTAAGTTATTTAATATTTGTATTTAATTTCAAACTAATATCATTCTATTATATATACAACAGATTACAGAGTACGCTGGGAAATGGGAATCAAAAAAATATGTAAAGAACGATAAATCATTTTATTAAATTTTTTTATCTCAAATGAAAACAAGAACTATCGATATAAAGAAAAAATCTTCGGAAATTGTATGCGGTGACGTAATGTGATTCAAGTTTGGTCGCCAAAAATTTCGTCGATGCAATATATTAGCATAACATTTAAATTAATATTGCATTCGCGTATCGTTGTTATGAAAAAACTTGTCTCGCGGAACATTTCTGTACGTGATTATCGACATTTTTATTTAAATATTATAAGACAAAAACGGTTTTAACACCGAGACGCCGGTGCAACATTGCAAAAAGTAGCGCATAAAATATCTTTACATTAAAATTGACAATGTTGAACGGATAATTCTGGGCGTCTTGTACTATTATTATTGTTTCTACTTTTTCCCTACGAAAGCAATTCGGGCGACTAGAAATACTGGACGCAGCGCGTTCGCGGAATACTGATCTCCATCTTTTCTCTCGTGAATACTATTCTAATAAGATCGAGTGCTTAATTCGCGTCAACTCGATTAAAATGCAAATAAGTTACTAATGGCTCATTATGCATATATATATATATATATATATATATATATATATATATATATACATACATACACACACACACACACACACACAATAAATCGGATATATACAGGATGTCTGAGAATCAATGGAAGTACAGTATCATTTCTTGTAAAATTGATTATCAACTTTTTTCAGGCATTAATATTTTATATTTTAACTTTTAAATAATAGACAAAAATTATAAATTATAAAAGCAATTTTATAATTACATAAAAAATGAATTCTAATAAATCATATCAAAATTTCTTGTGATAAAAATGATTTGAAAAATTGCGAACAATTTCATCTTCATCTTTGAAGTCTGATTTCTAAAAGACTTGATTATTTATGATTTATAAATTAATACTATTATTGATATGCCTCATGATATACTTGTACGTACAAATAATAAAAACTAATCCAAATTTTCAAAACAATAATGCCATATATTCATTTTTTTATCACTTCTAAGACATCTCATATATATATATATATACAATAATATATATAATATAAACAACATTTGTTATGATATCGATTTGCACGATTGATAAAACAGTAAAATACAAACTATGATTGGTCGACGATCCGTTATCATAAAAAATTTCTCGACCGGCATTATACGATAGGAATATATAGATACCACAGCAACAGTATATAAAAGCTCTTCTCGATTGTAGCAGATTCTTCTGGAATTATGCTTATATATTGGAAAATCACAGATTACAAAAATACATGTAGAAAAACGTCCCGTATATATCCCATATATCTCCCGTTGTTAAAATTATCTCGTCAAAATAACGTCTGACTTTTCTCGTACTGGATATGATCATTTTTTTGCCGGGAATAAACAAGCGAAATTGTAAATATATGTTTTCTTTCTTCACCGACAAAAAAGAACAAAACGAATATGTGCAATTCTGGATTTATAATAGCACGATCCCATGATCTCTTTCCAATCGACGCTTCGCCTTGAGAGCTACGATCCCCATCAGATCCGCCGGGGTCGGAAGCGTCGCGAAAGCACTCGGTGCCACTGCTTGTTGGTAGAAGACTTCTACTCCTCCGCTTTGATTACCGTAAACCACCGTGTCTTCCGTTCTATTCAATAAAAATAATTTTTGATGTTTAAAGGTTTTATAATTAAATTATCAAAAAATTTGATTCTATTGTCCCAACATGTTTACTCATCATTTACGTAATAAGAATTTCTCAATTTTTCATAGATTTATACTGTAATTATTTAACTTGATTAAATAACTCAAGTAACGGGAATCATATCTTAACACGATGTCTATTCAATTACTTAGCAAAACATATATTTTACAAAGGCGATCTATTAAACTAATCTACTAAAAGAAATCCGCGAATGCGAAAAATAAAGGAGATTCTTAAATAATAATAAATTAAATTTATATATAAAAGAACAAATAAAGGAATTTTTTAAATTTCAATTTGTAAAGAATTAAAATTTCTATAATTATACCTGACGATGATGTCTGTCAAATTACTAGCTTTTGTAAACCTATCGTGAAGGCAAGATACAATATCCAACTCGGTGACACCCCAGAGTCCAGAACGTTGCACCGTGTCCCATTGCGGGTCCACATTCAGAATACTGTACAATTCCTTGTTCTCCGTGGATGGCAATGGTTCTAGGCACTGCTGTAACCGTGACTCGAGCTTACCCAATGTGTTCACACAAGTATGCCACTATACAAAACATATCATTTGTCATTATTTAGAACACATTATTCGTCTTATAATTGCATTTCTTTAATTTATAATTGCATTTCTTTATCTTAGAAATGTAAGAGAACATTTCAGATGATTTTTCAGATTATTTCGCACGTTATATTCTTTTTCTCTGTTTTATTATATTACTATTCATTAAAAATAATCCATCGCAATTAATTTATTCATTTGCTAAAGAAGCTAGTTGAATTTTTTTAATCTCTAATGAATTTCGTAATATGCAATTTTCACACTTGCCAGAGTATGTATCAAATCCGGATTATTTCCGGTGCCGTTTTCCATCAGCAATATCAGCACCATGTTCTGATAGCCGCAGAGAAAAAGCTCAGTCTTCACGAGGCAGGCGGCAGGATCGTCCTTATTGATCCAATCCTCGTCCAATTCGTCCTCGCCGTCGCTTGCCTCCTTCTCGACGGATTCCAGTTTCTGTCTGATCAGCTGATTCGTTGTTGTCGTGGCAGTGGCAGTCGCGCCACCGGAAAATCCGGACAGGTCGCGGAATTCGCTCGGCGTGGTATCGCGGCTGCAGAAACCGCTGGTCCTTTCGTCGGCCAGTAGACTTAGTTTCGACATTAGTGGTGTCAATTGTAAACCATCTAGTTTCCGCCTTTGTGGAAATTCAAATGAATTTCCATCACCACACTCCGACGTCGATTTCCGTCGATCATCACCGTTGTGCACCTCGGCGACGACATTGAGTGGTTTCAACGGCAGACTCATCGACCTTTTGTACGTTTCCTGCTTGTTTTTATCATATCCGGACGTGCACTCTAAATATTTATATTTAAAATAAGTGAAACATATTTCGAACATTAAAGCATTAACGCTACTATCGCTATTGATATTTTAATATTATTTTATTCTCTTCTATAATGTTGGAAACATTAGTATGTCAAATTTAGCTCGTTATGATTTAAAATATTTTTCATAATTTAGTTTGTAATTTAACAAACGTGAAATAACATACCTTCGCGAACATCTTTTGTGAATGAGTTCCGACTATTGTTTACTGGTAATTTTGCACTCGTCATGTGGCTCGATAGATTCCTTAATTGCAGATTATCGCTGCCGTCATGTTGCTCATTAATGCCATTGCTGTTATCGCGCAACTCTTCGCAGTGTGAGGCAACATATTGCTCGTACAATGATTGTGAAACTGGTAGACCATCATATCGGAAAATGGGATAACAGGGATCGACAATAGTACGCGAGTGCCGTATACTATCTCTGGTGAGCTTCCTCTGAGATGAATTCAGATTGCGATCATCCGGTGAAGCTTCATTTAATTTGCATATTCTAAAATAAAAAAGAATTTAGTGATAAAAAATGGATTAATTCTACAATATTCAACTTATATATAAATTAAATTAAATGATATTCGACCATTTATTTTTTACTCTTTTTTAAGCGAAATTATCAACTATTAAATAATTATACTTTGTAATCAGGTAATTAATATTAATTTAATTACGTTTTATCCAGCTCTGGTCGCTGAGTTCTAGGAATAGTCAAGCTCGACTTTATTGATGACGTTAAATCCGGCAAACTCATGCTCTTTCTATCGGGATCCTTCTTCTTCATCAGCTTCTCCTTCGAGGCAGCATTTCTCAATTTATTCAGGCGTTTACATCTGTCATTGGAAATATTTTCAATTATGTTGTAACTAGAACTTGTGTATACAAGTTTATATTAAAATTGGTTGAAAAATACCTAAGCGCTTCTTTAACGACATCCGGAATGTCATCGTCATCGGGATTCTTCGAGTTTTTAAGTTCCTCGTTTTCACCGCCACTTTCAGATGAGCAGATGAGCATAGCATTTCCGTGTAGTACTCGGTCCACGTCTTTCAACGGCGTCGCGCAGACGCTGGGCGTGAGCGGGTTGACGATGACACTACTCTTGGATCGTTCTGACTTGATCTCTTGCTTGCGTCTTATTGGCGACTCATGGTTGATCGCGAGTGGTACAGACGACACGTATTGCGACGCCAGCGAATAATTCGTAGAATCCAGTTCACTTTCTTCGGGAACAGTGAAAATTTTTGAAGTATCCCGCTTCATGCCAGATATAGGCAGTTCCTTAGCGCCACTCTTGGATACGGTCTGAAAATTCATTAAACGTAAAGATGCTTTACCAATTATTAGTCATTATATATATAATTTTTATAAAAAAGAATATTTAATAGACTATTTAATTTTCTATTTTATTTTATGTCTTAGTATCGCTTATTATTATTATAAAAGTACCTTTCTTTGTAATATTTTCTTGGTCGCGGTATCTAGACACGAATTGTAATACCGCTCGTTATTCGCCTCTTGCATCAGCTTCGCAAATTGTTTCCGGTCTATGTACACTTGGAACAATTGAACACCGATTGGCAAATGAAATTCCGTGGGTATCCTTTCCGCGGGAGCCTTCAAGTTTAATAAATTACGAATTTTTTCGGAAATGAAAGCGATTAGTTTCATTAATGGTAAAAGCTAATATGCGTCGTTTTATTCGATCAATTATTATTACATTTAATCTCATATAAATCTGATCGAAGATACCTTTATTCTGTAAGGATCAGTTATGACTATCTGTTTTGTTAGGTCCGCTCCCAGCTGTGTTGAGACTATCCTGGAAAAAAACATTAATGAAGACTTTAAAGTAATTTTAAAAAACCAAAACAAATAACGAAAATTAATCAGGATAAATAATATTAAAAAAAAGATTAGAACATAATGTTTAGCAAGAATACAATTTTATTTATAAATGATTCTTTCATACTTGTTATTATAAAATAATGCTCCACCCAAAATGCCATTTATCTCTTGACAATGCTGTAACACTTGCATTCCTTCCAGGAATATGTTGCTGGCACTCTACAATGAGAAAAAAAGATTTTTCATCATAAAAAAGGAAATATATAAAATATATAAATTTAATCATTTTGATATTCTATTTATATGTGAAAAATTTTCTATTTCGCGCGTAACATTTCGTTTATATTTAACGTTACTTGGACTAACCTTTGGAAGTTTAATAACAGGAATGTTGGAAAATAGATTGGCACTATGCTGAAGAATTGGCAGATAGGTCTCAAACATCTGATACAATTTCTCGGTGAATCTGTTGCGATCATTGTTGAGAGATTCCAATATCTGGACGAAATCGCAGTGAAAGAACTTCAACAACGATTCCAGAATATTAGCGCGTCTCTCGAGTATCCAGTCGTGTATGTTTCTATCAGTCCCCACTGCCTAGCAAAATTAAACGGCATAATTTATGATTGTTAATCTCATATACCATTGAGGTCTATTAATACCATCAAGTCGTAAAATACGACGAACATATTAGCTCTTTGTTAATATCACGACGATTGAATAATTGTGTCAGCAGATAACGTCGTTCAACTGAATAACACAACGTAGTAATATGCGCAAAGAAAACATTTATCATGTGAGATGTGCGTACTCTATATTTTTTGGAGCAATCTTAAGAAGACAGACAACTTTAAAGCTTATTATTAATATTAACATTTTTATTTATTAGCGACTGTTATTGTTGCGTGACTATTAATATCTATTTAAAGGATTTATCAAACGTCAGAAATTATATCCATGTATATATAAATCTAGTTCCTAAGTTACATTTCATTTTCATTCAAGATCATATAGATAAACATCGATTGAGAGCTTCGCAATGAAATGTTCTTACCAGTACGTACTGCCCAAACTTCTTCAACACGAACTTGCCGCCTTGCAACGTGATGGAACGCGGTGCAGAGAACGACGTCGTCAGGAAGTGATGCACACCCATCAGCTGCCCCGCCAGAGCCAGTCTCTGCGTGAGAGATACCCAAGCCGGATGAAAATACATAACCGCCTCGGCAGGGTCATCCTCCTCTTTACAACACTTTGCAGTGTCGTAAACGAATACTATCATCATCTCTCTGGAAAATAAAGATTTCTTTCTGAATTCCAGGACAAACATTGCTTATCGCAGTCGCAATCAAATATAAGATTCGGATGCGGGACGCTATAAAAAGCAGACAAACAGCGGTAATGGATTTACAAACAAGTGTAGAGGTTCGTATTAGGACAAATCAGCATTTTGTTAACGTGATAAAAAAAAAAAGAAACCTGCATTACATAACTTCCTTAAAGAGGCTGATGACACTTTGGAGATTTGCACAGAGCTTACCTAGGGTCAGTTTATCTAAATACTTTAGCAGCGATTGTGAAGGTATCTTAAAGTATTTCATTGTAGGAAGATTGTGCACCGGATAACGCAGGGAATGCGCTCTACGAAGTGTTTTAACTTTGTTGCATGACTGAGTGAATCACTCCCGAGCAGAACGACCGCCGATTAGGCGGTCCCAGTAACTGATACGGCATCGAGGCGAGATAAGATTACAATACTGAGCGACGCGTATCATGGAACTAAATTCTTGTAGCTTGTCAGTGCTCGCGGAGCGGAGTACCGGAGGCTCGCTCGCTGAAGAAACAACTCTGACAGAAGTCTTCTCATTGAGACGATTCCGTTTCTAGAATTCGAACGGCGTTTGAAAAGAAGCCCGCGTCCTCTCTCCCTCGCATGGTTCGAAGAAAGAAACGTTATCGTCGTATTATTCACGACTTGCATGAGAACTAATCGAGAAATAATAAACAGACCCGAGTTCCGCGTTTGGCTGCGAGGTCCCAACAAATGCCAACGGCAGCATTATATCATTTTATAACTTCCTAGTTCCTCGACAATGTTACGCGCATCACATTACGTTACATTGCAATGCGGAGTGGTGGGAAATTGATGTAACGTCACTGTCAGTGTTTACTAGGATGCTCGCGTGCACTCTAATTAGATAAGGCGACATGATTACACGTAATCATACTTCGCCATGGTGACGGTTGATCAGTGGTCGGCGCAGCGCGTGGCGATCTGTCAGCCGGTCTCGCCGTCGAGAGCCCCTCTCTCTTTCTCTCTCTCGTCCCTCGGAGAGCTCTGATGTACGCACGTTCACGTCACGAGTGACGTCCGATGTTGTTGACGGTGGCCTAATATGACCCCGGGCGCTCCGCCGCTAGGAAACGACCTGTGCACCTTCGCCGCGTTGTCGATCGGCGAGAAACGTCGTGTGCCATTTTTTTTCTCCCGCTTCAACGTCAATCGTCGATCATGGACGATCGCACCATATGGAACTGCTCCTCCCGCGCCGCCATTTCTGATATTGATCCCCCGACGATTTGTGTGCGTAAATACGCGAATGCAAGCTCCGAGCTCGCGCATCTTCCATGGTTTTTATCTTCTCCTGTCTTTTTTACACGTACAAGTAGTTTTATATATTTCATTACAACATATAAGTTTAATTTTATTAAACAAAAAAAGAGACAATTATGATATGATTTTTATTAAAATATATACACATATATATATATATATATATATATATATATATATATATAGTATATATATAATAATATATA